GAAATAAATTCCTACCTAGTTAAATTCAGCTTCACTCCTTTCCAAATTTCTCAAACAAGAAAAGCAAATCACAGTGTAAGCTGCAGTACATATCATTGTTAGCAAATCCAGGACACGTTTAGAGTGTAAGCCACTCCAAATAAAGAGGTCACTAAAATTAGAAGAGGGTGTAAATGGCATCTTGACTTCTCAGACCAATGACTACCTTTATGAGTCAGCTAACTGACAGAATGAATTGAGTATAGAATATAGAATAGAATTATATAGAGTTGGGTATAGAATATAGAATATATAGAATGAGTTGGGTAGAGGGACTCAGGGTAAGTTGACAGCCCAGCAGCACTTAGCTTTTCAGTTATAACTGTGGCCCAAAGAGCAACATGCAAGACTAGCACTACTTTCCTGAGAAATTAAACAATTCATCTCTTATGAACCCCTGCTCCATGACAAAATTCCAGAAACCAGCAGCTCCTTGTATTTTGCTGAAAGCACCAATGGGCATGTTTTAACTGATGATGGTCACTGTGCAAAATGAACTCAGCATCCAAGTACTACTGAGATGCTATCTGCACCTCCCTGACATTAACCAGTGTATCTGCAACTCAAAAAGGAAATAAGGACACAAGATTAAATATCCTTCTGGTAGCCATACAGTTATCCAAAAAGGAAACAATTACAAACTGAAATATCCAATAAACTTGAGAAAAGCATACACAGTCACAGCACATGAATACTAACAATGCTAAATCCAGTTTACTGAAAAGTTGCCCATCTCGAAGATGCAAATTTGAGACAGTACAAAATCAGTTAAAACCATATAAAAAAAGTCATTCATTCCCAAGTTTTAGAAAATGCTAGTTGAGGCCATCTTGCTCATTTTTTTTTAGACAAGGTCTCATGTAGCCCTAGCTGACCTGGAACGTACCATGTAGACCAAGCTAGCTTTGAACTCACAAAGATCTACCTGCCTCTGATTTCCAAGAGCTGGGATTAAAGGTGTGTGTCCAGCATTAATGGCACTTTCTTTTCTTTTCTTTCTTTCTTTCTTTCTTTCTTTCTTTCTTTCTTCCTTTCTTTCTTCTAGAAACATTTTTTCTTCATCCTGGAGATTGAACCCTCATACATACTAGTCAAGTATTCTACCAGTGAGACTGACATGTTTATGCTCTGTTGTGGGTGTTATTTATTTATACTTCCTTTCAGTTTTTGTTGTTGTTGCTTTGGTTTGGTTTTTGTTTTTCTTTTGAAACAGGGTGTCTCTATGTGAACCCTGACTGTCCTGGAACTTGTTATGTAGATGAGGCTCAAACTCATGGAGATCCTCCTGCCTCTACCTCCCAAGTGCTCGAATTATCCAGCATCTTTTATTCTTAGGGAAATAATTACAGCATCTCCCTGTTACCCCTGAGAGATTGAACATAAAGTCTGATAGTATGTTGTTCACAGTGATCCTCTGAAGGTGTATTATTGTCCCCATTTTCCTGGCAACAAAACAGACCGTTCATCTTGTTTCCAGTTTGCTGAAGTTCACACAGCTATGAAGATTTAAAGTTATTTAGGCTAAGAGGCACAGAAGAGGACCAATTAGACATTATAAGGGGAAAAAGCTGCCCTGGCCCCGAGAAGGGCCCTTCTACAGCTACGATACTAGATGCCACTGCTTTCAAGCCTTTAGCCTATAATCAACCAATATTGAAACCAGATTTCCGGGCGGGGCGCTTCAGAGGCGAGCTTTGTGATTTTCTAAAGCAGACATGTTTAGTATTTTAGAAGGTCAAACCCCTATGGTGCAGTGTTTTTAATAAAATCAGTTCAACAGAAATTAGAGACACACCAGCCAATTTCTAGGAAGCCTCTGAGCCATCTGAAATAAGAGGGCAAAGAACATAAAAGACAAAATCATGTACGGATCAATTTCTTTCAAAACGGGTAGGACTTAAGGGGTATAGATACAGAAACATCTATAGGCCTGTTTGCATCTGGTTTGAGCAAATTTCCATTTAGAAAGGAACATTACTTTGGGGGAGTGCTCTGTGTCGTTTTAAGCACAATCTTACACAGCCGCCTCAAAATAAGCGCACAACCCTCTAAGAGAAAAGTGAACTAATGAACCAATCATCGCACCATTCTTGGATCACCAAAGCAGATAGGCAGCCTTGCCTCCTGCTGAGTGCAGTCCTCTCCCAGGGAAGCCAGAGCCAGCCTAAATGCGGTGCCCAGGAACCCAAAAGACAGAAAAACCTGCCCTACTTTCATTGACAGGGCAAGCTGCGGAGAGATCCGACCAGCGAAGACAAATGTAAACACAGGTTTTGCTCTTAGGAAAAGGGGGGGGGAGGGGAGCGTGTCACGTGACTAAAACTGAGTCCCCAGAAAAACCAGAGGGGCCATGAGTCCCTAGCCCACAGAACAGATTGGAGTAGACTCAAGAGTGCCCAGGAAGAACAGGAGGCAGGTTAGCAAACACAGATTCACAAGTCACTGCACTCAGCTTCCAGTAAACGTTCATACTGTGCAGACCCACGCCTTTCTACAGGAAGGTGTGCATGGATGCTACAGTGTTTCAAAGCTCAAGACTTCCTCCGTTTTGTTTTTTTTTTTCCTAATGAGATACTGAGTTGTTAACTGACTCAAAGTCTCTTGAAATTCATGAACAAGGAGCAAGTAGAGGAAAATGTGCCTGTATAGCACTAATAGAACGGATGACTACTTAAAGCAGGGGATCTCAACCTGCTACTGCGACCCTTTCATACCGTTCTGTGGTGGTAACCCCTAACCATAAAACTTCTCTGGTCCTTCATAACTGTAATTTTGTTACTGTTATGAATCATAATGTAAATATCTAATATATATGACCTACAGGTTGAGAAGCATTGACTTAAAAAAAAATCACTGACCTAAGCCAAGCATGGCAGTGAGGGACTAAATTTTCAGCACTTGAATGAGGCAGGATGGTGATTTGGGTACCCTGTGGGCTACAGTGAGATTTTTATGTCAAAAAAAAAAAAAAAGATGGAGGTGCGGGAGAGATTGTTGATCTTGTATGATGCAACAAAGGAAAGAAGAAATGAGGTGCCCACACCTCAGTCTCTGAGCAACCAAGTGACTGCAACCTGAGCAAAAGTGAGGGGGAGGGTGGGAAATTCACCTGCCAATTTTGACCAATCAGTTCTCTTCTCTTGCTGGGTCTGAATGGTGAAGTTCAAGTCCTTGGTCCCTTGAAATGACAAACCTGGGAATGAAGACATAACAGGATGGCAGACAGCACGCATAAAACCTGAGTATTTTCTGAAAGAATTGCAGGTGTGTGTGTGGCAGAAAGAGCAGTCAATCTCAAGAAGCATAAGAACGCTGTCATTTCTTTTCTATTTTTTAAAGATTTATTTATTTATGATGTATACAGTGCTCTGCCCACATGTATGCCTGCAGGCCAGAAGAGGGCACCAGATCTCATTATGGATGGTTGTGAACCATCATGTGGTTGCTAGGAATTGAACTCAGGACCTCTGGAAGAGCAGACAGTGCTCTTAACCTCTGAGCCATCTCTCCAGCCCAACGCTGTCATTTATTAAGATAGAAATTTATTCCAGAGTCTGACCTGTTTGGGTCATTATCTACTGACAATAAAATAAGTATAAACTGTGTGTAGTGGTACACACCTTTAATCCCAGCACTTGGGATGCAAAGGCAAATGGATCTCTGTGAGTTGGAGGACAGCCTGGTATACACAGTGAGTTCCAGGAAAGCCAGGGTGGCATAGTGAGACCCTGTCCCAAGGGGTGTGGGGGGTGGGAGGAACCTAGGTAAAATCTAGGTACTCATTTCTTTGCTAGTCATTTCCACTCAGATTATTCCACACACTTGGCACTTCTCTTTAACTAAGAGTCTCAAACTATGCTTAAATGTCCTAGTGAAAATATACAAAAATACAAAAAAAATCTCAAACATGGGGCTTCAGGTTCAATTTAATAATAATAAAAAGACACACAGAACAATTGAGAAAAAAACTGGCAAATTCTCACATTAAAGATAAACAAGAGCTTTGAGGGAAAGGTCTATAAACAAGGTAAAGAAAGTCTTACAGGAGGCAAATGCTACTTTCCTGGCTAAATATCATGTTCTGTCATGTTCTATTTGGTTATATTAGCAAAAGTGTCATTCTGAGGGGGAAACATAATAGTTGTGTTATTAAAATGTCAATTTACTGACATTCACCACTGAAACCCTTCTTAAGGATTGAAAAGACATTTAGAAACAGATACTGTTAAGTATAGTCATGTTTAAAGACCAGGAGCATTGCATAATAAAGTTTGGCTAATTTGGTAGACAAAATATTTAATTTGGTTCGAGACAAAATAAACTGTCAAAGTAGACAGTGGTTAACTTTACTAAAGACATTCTTCAGTCAGAGGGAGGTAGACATAATTAAAAGGTCCTTACAGAGCAAGTGGATGGAGCCGATAAAACATTCCTTTTGTTATGGCAGCTTCAGAGACTCAAGTCCTATCTGTATCTGGTCTGGCACAGTAAGTGAAGAATTCTTAGGGCTTGGGCTATAGCTTAGTGGTGGACTGGACTGTGTGCTTGTCGTGTTAGGGGCCAGAAACAGACAACCCTCAGCACAAGCAAAAAAAAAAAAAAAATAGTTCTTAGATGAAAACTAAAACCAGGATCATTCTGGAAAACAGCATGGGTGAGACACTAGAAAATGGTCATTACACAAAGCCAATTAATCACAGGTTTGTGTAATAATGAACAAGATCAAAATGAAGCCAAAAGCTACATTGGAAAAGCATAAGTAACAGGCCTTCATTCGTGTAATTTAACAACTACACTCTTATACTTCCTACTCAAATGTTTTGTTAGTTTTCCGTGGTGCTGGGGAAAATCAAACCCAGGGCACCTCACGTACACTAGACAGCATCGTACCATTGTGTTACACCACCATCAGCCTCCCCCACCCCAATCTAAGTTTATAACTTATGAAAGACACCACTAAATTTTCAGACAAAAATATATATTTTTTAAAAAATCTTTACAATAAATGAAGATGTAGGAGCTTACAGAGAGCACAACTGTTTATTTCAGTCAGTCATGGCTCTCCGGGACACAAAGAGCCCTGGGAAAGTGTGTGCAGAGTCCTCTCTTTGCTTTTTACAATTTTAAAGCAAATTAATCCATTTGACTGTATGAGTCTGTGCAAATAATCCTTCAGAAGAAAATACCCAAGATTCTCTTTGCAGAGGTCATTTTTGTCTCTCCAAGATGACTAAGCGAATTAGTTTGTCTCCAGATAAAAGTGCTCCTCCTGTCCAGCAGAATTCAGAAGACCTTCAAGGGTTCAGTTTACAGTTCAGCTACGACTCTGTCATACGAATTCCAGCTTCCCATGACCACTGTACATGCCCCAGTGCACGAGTGAAAGGATCTTCTCATTACTGAGTTCTGCTTGCCTCATTTTGTCACAGGTCAGACAACAGTTCTCCTGCCCACTGACGGGCACCATGCACTCCAAGTCCAACTTCGCAACCTGCCCCTTCTTGGAATGGTGCCCATGGAAGCTGTAGTGCAAACGAGAGAGCATCTGTTGCCGCTGATCCTGCAGTCTCTTGTTCTCACTTCGGAGCATTCGCAAGGCCAACATAATGAGCAACACTAAGATAAGCCCACCAGCGATGGGGACCGCTATCACTGCAGCTCGGAACCACAGTTCTTTGGAGGAAGTCAGCTCCTGCACCTTAGTGATGAGGTTTCTGCTACTGTCATGCTGGTACCGGTTTCCTTGTCCTAAGGGAGTACAAAGAAAATGGTCAATTAAGCCAGGTGATCCCCTCTCCTAGAAGCAAGCACAAACATACCACCACTTCCCATAAGAAAACCCATTTAAACAGCAACTTACCAAGCATCTCAAGAAATGACATGTTACAAAAGTAACCAAAGATGCTTACAAATGCATTTGTTTACAGGCTGTCATTACTTGGATGTAATGGTCTTTTAATGTCCTCAAAATGTTGAAATAACAGGCAAAGCCTATTATGCAGAGACATCTAATGCTCAGGCAGACATAAAAGCCGCTCAGTTAGAGACGGTCTTTGCCATCCAGCCATGCTCTCCCTCTGGTGTCTCTAATTACATTAACAACAAAATCAATAGCAGACATACAAAGTCGCAGCTGTCACAGGCCTATAGATCAGGCAGGCCCTCAGGTCAGGACAGCTCAGACCTACCTGAGGCTTCACTCTTGGGAGGAGAAAGGACGTCGTGCAGCCCTCGGTAATTGCACATGTCTTCGTGACAGCATTCCAGCGTAGGCATGGCGGGGCCAGAGTGGTTTTGGGCCTGTTTGGCTCGGCAGATGTCTGCTGTGCTGGCAAGTGAGTCCAAGCAGCCATGAGTGAGTGGAGAATTGGTGTTCTGAGGGTCGAGAAGTCTGGAGAAGCAGGCACTCAGCTCAGACTTACACATGTAACCCGTTGCCACACAGTGAGCGGCATCACAGTAGCATCGGATCTCTCCTGAAAACAAAGAAACTACATAAGCATCGGCTGAACCCCGACCTCAAAGGCACTTATTGTAGGTTTTCAAGATGAGTGTTGACAACAGCAGCCCAAGGGGACAGAAATGCTCCCAAAGTAGGCAGTGTCCTAAGTTCCATCGAGCTAAATGTTAGGAATATATGAAACCCAACAACAGACTTCTGATGAGTTAAGAGTAATGAAATTGTGGTTTGAAGGCAAAGATTCTTCGCTATATTGCCTTTGTTATAAGGTAGAATTATGCATTTTTATGCCACACAATATAAAAACGTCAGGCTTCAGGGTTTTATCTATATCAATATTTGATCGGAACTACTGAATTGTTAGGCATCCCAAAGGACTGAGCCAAGTTTTAAGAGCCTGAGCTGACACCTTATAAAGTTATTAACTAGACACACAACAATGTAGAAACTGCACAGGTCAGGGGATTTTCAAATTATGCAACAAGCAGCTATCTGCGATCTCTCTAGAAAAGGCAAACTTTGCCTATAAAGATCCTTTCACGCAGAGGAGCTTTTAGTCTGAGCATTGTAAAACAGGAACTAGGCAGTTTACAATTAGTGGTTTGCTTGCCAAAGTCAATTTCTTTCAGCCCAAATGGAAAGTCATAAAAGTGGGGGATGTAAAACTGCAAGGGTAACTTCACCTCCTCCCCCTCCTCTTCAGCTTTACATGTAATTTAACATGTGACCTAAAAGGGGAAACTCGAAACTGAAAATCCTCTGCTGGTTGAAGGAAAAATCCTTAAGGAAACCTCAAATTTTTCTCCAGGAAGTGATTAAAGTTTCCTTTATAAAACTCACTTTGTGAGTTGCAAGGTTCTGTTAACATCTTGCCACAATGCAAGATTTCAACTTGGATGTGGACCTGAAAGTTATCTATCACGAGAAACTGAGATGCCCAACGGGGTGGACGCCCATCACTGTTGGCTGCCACAGCTCAAGCTACTGTACACCAAATGAATGCACACGCCCCGTCCCAGGTCCCAATCGGAAGATCTGTCTAGTTATTGAAACCTCCACTCTGACATTCAACACTGCAGCTTTTCCAAACCTCCCCCCAACCTCACCTCTCTCTCTCCTCCTTTCTGTGAATGCCTGAGTAAGGTGTCTCATTTAATTATCTGTCCAAATTCCAGGCCACCACACGCTGCGCTCAGTTTTCACCCAGGCTGCTCACACTTCAGCTGGAAGAAAAGTCAGCCAGTCCAAACTCTGCTATCCCAGTGGTGGGGTCCGGGTCCCTCTCTCGCCTCCTCCACTGCAGCAAGAACTTTCAACTCTGCAGCAATCCCTTTCAGCTTTCTCCTCCTCCTTCCAAGTTCAGCCTACTCTTTGCATAAAAGTATACCAGTCCTAGGTGATAATGACTGCATATCCCTGGCCTGACAAATTCTATACAGATTTAAAGTAGAAATAAAACAGATTAAAAGTCTACTTTGAGCCTATTAGGCTCAGATTTGGTGCAGAAAGGGGAAACCAAATACAAGTAAAATGCTGCTCCAGTGTTTATGAGAGCCTATTTAAAATGCTGTATTTTCAATGACCTGAAACACTCTCAGTAAAATTTTGACAGGTAACTGGGAAAGTTCTAAGACTTAAAAAAAAAAAATTGGAGCCACATTTCAACAAGGAGAATGGACTTTTGTATTACTGTATTAAAACTATATTTCTGTCATTTCATAAGGTTTCTTCCTGTGGCATGCAAAGGCCACGAGGGGACTGGTATTTTAAAACAGTGAACAATGCTCTTCTGTTTGCCCCTTTCTAGTTACTGTATGTAGTGATTAAACAAAAATGTCTACTTCAGTCAAGATGGCTACAGCAGAGGCTGCTGGCTTCTTTTAAATAAAGCTTTTGAAGTCCGCAGCAGCCAGAAATCTCTGATCCCCTAATTATATCATTATCAGGCACATAGTTTCGGTATCTGTGACTTCATGTCAGCCCCAGTCCCTCCCTGTTCTGCCTGCCTTTGATAGGACCAGGAGGCTCCCCTCTGCAGGCTGCGAGGGCTGTTATTTAGGGCTAATTACACCCTTCCTTCCAAAATAAATAAATAGTGTAGCACCTCATCCTTGCTGGGCTGGCTTATCCTTTAACCCCAGGCCTGCTACATGGCAATTGGAGGAAAGTGTGTTTGGGAGTGAGGGTCAGAGACTAAATAATGCTTCCCATTAAAAAAAAAAAAAAATGGGTTCGCAGAACAGGAGGTAGAGCCCTGGTTGGGGGCGAGGAAAGCCTTGAAAGCTAGGAGTTAAGAGAATTTCCATCTAAAGGTGAGCCCTTCTGGAAAGAAAAAAGACTTTTTTTTCCTTTTGCCAGCAGTGTCTGTAAAAATATGGAGTGGGTGGCAGTGCCTACCTACTCTTCCCAGCGGGTTTAGAGCAGAGAACACACTTCAGCGGCCACCTCAGATTCCTATATTCCCAGGGAGACCTCACACTGGTTGGTACACAGACATGCACACTCCGAGACATTCGGACATGCGAAGATACACAACGGCACTAACACTCAGAAATAATCAGACGCATGTGCAGATATCCAGAAGCACAAAAGTCAAGAGCGCAGACAAGCCCAGCTCAGAAACAGACACCGGCAAACTTAAGGACACTATAGACACACGCCCAGACATTCAGGTACCCAGTAAAATCAGACTCCGTTCCGGCCCAGTTAGGACCTGCGTTTTCTCGGGAGCGTCCCGTCATGGGACGTGAGCCCAGCGGCATCCGGCCTTCTCCTGGCCCCGAGGTCTGACAGTCCTTTAACGCGCCAGGCCCGGGACAGCGGAGGGAACCGCGGCAAAGGCGCAGGCGGGAACCTCGCCACCGCTCACGAAGCCCGACAGCTAGCCCCGCAGTCCCGGCGCTCAGCCTCGCGGCACCCACCTTTAGTGAGCAGCACCGCCATGGCGCAGAGCTCCAGCTGCAGCCAGATGAAGATGTAGCTGGAGTGGCGATCCATTGACGCCCCGCGCCCCCGTCGCTCCGGGAGCCAGGCCCGGCTGCACTACGACCCCCGGGGCGCGCCGCGCACGAGCCCGGGCGCCGTCAGTGGCGGGGCGGGAGCCGGAGCATGGAGCGGGACCAAGACTACCGAGGACACGTTCCCGGCCCCGCACGCTTCCCGGAGGTCTTTCCTTTGCCTCGCAACCCCGTGCACTAGCCACAAACAGCGGACTCGAGGAGAACGAACCCACGGGCAGCGACTGCACCGGCCAAAGAGCCCGCGTCCGCGCTGTAAATAGCGCCCGGCGCCGGGAGCGAGCCAAGCGCGGCCCCGCCCGATGCCCCATCCCCGCTCTCCGATTGGCTGACGCCTCCAGCCCCGTGGCGAAGCAGCAAGGGGCGGGGCCAGACGCGGAGCAGAGCCGACCTGCCTCCCGGCTCGCACTGGCGCCGACGTCTAGCACTGCGGACCCGGCGGCAGCTCTCCCCCTAGCGGACGTCTGCTAGTACAGCCTCAGGGGCGCCGGGAAGCCCCGCTTCTAGGTAGCCTCTTGACTTTGCTACGGCACCCTCTGACTGCTCAGTCTCCTGCCAGCGGCCCCCAGCACGTGGCTTCGCTTTTGTCTCACCTGAACCCTGCAAGGGAAGACACAATGCCAGTGGTCATGTACCGGAATCCCCCAGAGAGAGTAGCTATGCCCTGGCTGCCGAGCCCCGGACTCCCCTCCGCCCCCCAGGGACACTGACCATGCTCTGGCTGGCCACCGAGCCCCGGAGCTCCACAGGCACAGTGGCCATGCCACGGATTCCGAGGCCGGAAACTCCCAGGAACAGTGACCATGTCCCGGCCACCCAGTCCTGTAGACCCTCAGGGACAATGGCCTTGTCCAGGCCTCTGGGCCCGGCCTGCCCGCGCGTGGCCGAGGAGAAGTCGAGTGGGGAGCCAGGAAGGGGCGGCCCGGAGGTGGAGTCGGCTTTCTGCCGGCTCCCTGGCTCCCCCGGGCTCATCCGCCCCGAGCCGGCCGCCTTGTGATCAATAAAGCCCAGACAGACAGACTGTTGATCAGTAGGAGAGGCTGGGTTCTCCCGGGTAGACAGGGGACCGGGAGCCTGCTAGAGACACTTAACGAAAATTAGCAAATCCAAAAGCAACCGGCGCCAGCTAGACGACACTGGCCGAGACTCAATTAACCACCCCCCAAACAATCGCAGGCAAACACACCCGCTGACCTGATCAATATCAGCCCCACAGCGATCTCTTTCCTGAGATACTAAGTCATTTATTAGGGCTTGAGGGGCAGCCGCCCCAAGGAACCTAAAATGGAATGGGATGCTGTTTGCTTGTCTGAGGGAGAAATGGGCTTAAGGATTTTATTATCACAGAGAATGCTCTTTTACATCCCCTCCCCCAAGCAAAAGTAAACCATCTGCAAAATTCACTTTTAGGGTCAGCCAACGTTTAAAGCGGCCAGAGATAAAAGTCAGGTCATTTAGAATGGGAGGGCAGATGTGAAAACTAAGAAGCTGCGAGGCCAGCTTTTAGCTCAGAGTCGCTGGCCTAGCACTTGAGGTCCTGGGTCCCACGCCAGCACAGCAAGGCAAACAAACACTTAAGCGAGGGGGGAGATGTCTTATGGACTGAAAATCTAGGAGGAGCCTTCTAAACACCTAACCTAGTAAATTTGCTGGAAGTCTTGAGAAACACAGGAAGTTAGTGAAGCTACCTTCGAAAAAAGGATGATTTGTGTAGAAAAAGTAAGTAATCCCATACTCTTATACTCTTACACTTTCTTATGTCAAAATTGCATTTCAAGAGGAGGGCAGGAAGTTCACACTTGAATCTTAGCACTTGGGAAGTTCTTGGGTAGCAAAAGCTGGAGAAATGGCAAGAGTTAGAGGCCAGCCATAGTTCTGTAGTGATTTTCCATATCAGCCTGGACTGCCAACTAGACCCTGACTCAGAACAAAACACAAAATAAAATTTTACAAATTTAAGTATAAAGAGGGAAGGAAGTTTCAAATGTACCCTATAATCACACCGTTTGGCTGGTAGAGGCAGGGGAATTGCAGCTTTGAGGACAGCCTTTCTACGTATCCAGTCCCTGTCTCAAAAAATAAACACACAAGCCCAGGCAGGTTACACCTATAGGCAGATAGAAAGACACAAGGGTGTTACTTTTTTTTTAAATTAAACATTTAAGCCAGTTGTTGGTACCAGCACTCCAGAGGCAGAGCCAGGTGGATCTCTGTGAGTTCAAGACCAGCCTGGTCTACAAGTGCTAGTTCCAGGACAGCCTCCAAAGCCACAGAGAAACCGTGTCTCGAAAATAAATAAATAAAATAAATAAATAAATAAATACACACACACACACACACACACACACACACACACACACACGGAATGGGAAGAGAATATCATCGGCTTTCCCTGTCTGTTCTTGACCAGTAGAACTTTGGGGAGTTAATGTAAAGGGCCCTGTGGACTGGGTATTCAGGTAATGACACACTCTTTTAACCTTGGAGAGTCAATCATTAGCTAAAAGGAATCTTTTAGAACAGACTCATTCAGCCACCTCAGAGTTCCCACCAGTAGACCAGATTTACAATGTCCAGAATCACAAAGATTTGGGCATCTAGACAATATGTCACAAGTCAAACAGTGGCACAGAATTGCGTGCATAATATTATTATGATTCAGCCTAACAAGGTGAAGATGTCCAGGGATGGTCTCCTGAAAGCAGTGACATCGAGGTTGGCTCCTACTGTTGGAGGAAGACCACTTCAAGCACAGAGGACCACAGAAATTTAAGGATGAAATGAGTTAATTGTGGAGGAAGACAGAGGAAGTACAGAAGAGATGGGTAAATGGAACTGCAGGCAATTCTTTGTGACTGGGACAGAAAATACAGAGCAAGGAATGGACTAAAATCTGCTGAGGACTAACTCCATTTACCTTTGTTGCAGATAAATACTTTATCAATTGGAGAAGATGTACGGAAACGTGTAGGTGAACACCAGATTGGAGTATATACTCCCAGTGTTTCAGTTAATGTCCCCTTTTACACTGGGAAGGACAGCAGGAACCAGTCGCACAACCCACAACCTATTGGGTCCTTTGGACAGAGATGCTGGCCATGCTCTGGAGACTACTTCAAGAAAGATGTGGAAAGTAGAGATGAGGGGACAGCTGGAGTCTATCTGCCTACAGAGAAAAGGCAAATGAGGGAGATGTGCCAAGAGGCAAAGATTTAAATCTCAGTGGGCTTCCTTTCTGCAGATGTCAGTTTTTTCCTTCCATCATGTTTGAGGTATGCTCTGGCTTGATCTCCATTAGCTGGTCTCTGAGCTTCTGGAGTCTCCCATCTCCTCATGTGGGAGTCGGGAACATAGGAGGCCAAAGGAGGAGAGTTCCAGCTCTACTCGGATAACATTGCTCACTACCACACTTGCTTTTCTGTGGATCTTAGACTCTCTTGTGTGGCATTTACCTACTGAACTAACTTTATAAGCATTCAGTCTTGTTGCTGAAATAGTGTCTCACGTACCCCAGGCTGGCACTGAACTTGCTACGCAGTCAAGGATGTCCTTGAACTCATGATCCTCTTGCTTCCACTCCCTAAATGCTGAGATTATACTCATGACTCACCAGGCCTGAAAAACTGCCAGAATCTCAGTAAGTCTTCATCCCCCGCCCTCCCCCCCTGCTTTCTTTGTTTTATAAAACATGGAATTGTTGTATACCCCAGGCTGCCCTTGAACTAAAGCCCTCCACAGCCTGCTTTAAACACTAATTTTCTCTTTTGATTTCTGTGATATGAGGATCAAGCCCAGGGCTTTGCTCATGCTAGGCGGTTGTCCTTCCACTGAGCCACATCCCAGTACATAAAACTCTTTCTAACTTACAGTTCTTCCAGTGGCATATCAAAGGACCCCTTTCAAACTCTACTCAAATGAGTATTTGCCTTTTAGTATTACACATGTGGTAATATTATTAATATCTACATTTTAAAGTTTACATTTCTATATTGGTTCAAGTATAATTCAGAATAAGAACTTGGGATTCATTCTTCAGACAATGATTTCAACTCTTTTGTTTTTATTGCTATGGTCAAGCTTCTTAAGTGGCTAGAAATTAGTTTTAACAGAAACAAGCTTGTACTTTAGTGGGCTTTTCAACTGGGTGAATGAGAGTGTTTGAATCAATAAGGGAAATCAAAATTGGGTTAGAGATAGCATGTCAATCAATAGTCAAGAGAACAGACAACAATTTAGATTCAATTTAAGATGTTTAATGACAATTGCTTCTCTACAGAATTTTGTTTTGTGCTCTACACAGGACTCACTTAACTACTTTTCTACATTCAGCTTCCTCACTCATATACAAACAACTGTGACAGTGTAGAGACAGCGCCCCCTGCTCCCCACGTACCGACAGTGATGGCAGTGTAGAGATGGAGCCCACTGCTTCCCACATACAGTGATGGCAGTGTAGAGATGGCACCCGCTGCTCCCCACATACAGACAGTGATGGCAGTGTAGAGACGGCGCCGCTGCTCCCCACATACAGACAGTGATGGCAGTGTAGAGACGGCGCCCGCTGCTCCCCACATACAGACAATGATAGCAGTGTACAGATGGCACCCGCTGCTCCCCACATACAGACAGTGATGGCAGTGTAGAGACGGCGCCTGCTGCTCCCCACATACAGTGATGGCAGTGTGGAGATGGCGCCCACTGCTTCCCACATACAGTGATGGCAGTGTGGAGACGGCGCCCACTGCTTCCCACATACAGTGATGGCAGTGTGGAGACGGCGCCCACTGCTCCCCACATACAGTGATGGCAGTGTAGAGACGGCGCCCACTGCTCCCCACATACAGTGATGGCAGTGTGGAGACGGCGCCCGCTGCTCCCCACATACAGACAATGATAGCAGTGTACAGATGGCACCCGCTGCTCCCCACATACAGACAGTGATGGCAGTGTAGAGACGGCGCCTGCTGCTCCCCACATACAGACAGGGATGGCAGTGTGGAGATGGCGCCTGCTGCTCCCCACATACAGTGATGGCAGTGTAGAGACGGCGCCTGCTGCTCCCCACATACAGTGATGGCAGTGTAGAGACGGCGCCTGCTGCTCCCCACATACAGTGATGGCAGTGTAGAGACGGCGCCTGCTGCTCCCCACATACAGACAGTGATGGCAGTGTGGAGATGGCGCCTGCTGCTCCCCACATACAGTGATGGCAGTGTGGAGATGGCGCCTGCTGCTCCCCACATACAGTGATGGCAGTGTAGAGATGGCGCC